TTTTCTTTTTTTTTTTTGAGTGAAAGTCTCACTCTGTCACCCAGGCTAGAGTGCAGTGGCACCATCACAGCTCACCAAAGCCTCTACCTCTTGGGCTCAGGTGATGCTCCCACCTCAGCCTCCCAAATAGCTGGGTCTACAGGCATGCACCACCATGCTTGGCTAATTTTCTGATGGTTTTTGTTGTTGTTGTTGTTTGAAGACGAGGTCTCACTCTGTTGCCTAGGCTGGTCTTGAATTCCTGGGCTCAAGCCATCTGCCACCTTGGCCTCCCAATGTGCTGGAGTTACAGGTGTGAGCCACTGTGCCTGGTCTAATTTTTCACTTTAGTTTTAAACACGCTATGCTATAATTTAATGTAAAAGTGGACAAAATTGTGTTACAGGTGTTTTTGGATGTACTTTAGTACTTTAAATAATACCTTTAAATCACTGAATATCAGGGTCAGAAGATCTTTATTCCAGCCACCCATGTGATACTTGAACTTTCTTGCTAAATCAAATAATAAAAAGAATGGGGAGGGTGATTAAAAAAAAAAAGAAATGGGTGAGACAGCTTTAAGCAGGATTTTAAAATTTAGCTTGAAAGCTTTTAAAGTCTAATTATACAGGGAGGTGGCAGTGTTTTTATTTGCTGTTTACCTTTGATCTATTACCTATTTTTGGTAGAGTGAAACATGCTTTTGTGAAAATGTTTATGGCTTTTTCATTTGATGTTAAGATACTTGTTTGAAGTTGCCCTGTAATTTTGAGATTTTTAAAAAACTAATATTAATATTTGGCTTTTACTCCCAGACTAATAACAAGTTACTGTTGATCCAGGTGATTTATTTTGAAAGTATAAGTGATATGCTAAATTTTAGATATAGTTTTTTTTGTTTGGGGACACAGTAGACATTTTAAGTATAAAATATCTAAATAAAATCAAACCATAAGAATAAGAAAGTAAAAATTAACCTGCCCAATGTTAACATTTTTTATTAAAGTGGACTTTGTGAAACTTGCGTATATATATATTTGATTTTCACATATATACACATATGTTTGGTTTTCTATAAATTGGTTGGTTTTTATTATAAATTTCATTTTAGGAGACAGGGTCTCATTCTGTCACTCAGACTGGAGTGCAGTGGTGCAATCATAATTTACTGTAATTTCAAAATCCTGGGCTCAAGCAATCCTCCTGCCTCAACTTCTTGAGTAACTAGAACTGCAGCCTCGAACCACCTTGCCTAGTGAATTTTTAAAATTTTTTTAGAGACAAGGGTCTTGCTATGTTGCCTAGTCTGATCTTGAATTCCTGGCCTCAAGCAATCCTCCTGCCTTGGCTTCCCAAAGTGCTAGGATTACAGACATGAACCATTGTGCCTAGGTCATGATGTAATTTTTAATTCAGTAATATATTGTTGCCATATTTTTTATGTCAATAAACGTATATTTATATAATACTTTTAATAGTTTCTGTGTAGTTTTTTATTTATTTACTATAATTTATTTATCCAATTCGTAAGTATTCTTAATTTTTGGTTATTATAAAATATGTTAATGAACAGGCATAGTTCATGTATGTATCCTTTATCATTTTGGGGATTCGTTTTTTAGGATAATTTTTGAAAGTATCATTTTGAAAGTTACAAACTCAAAAGATAGTGCTATTAACAATTTTAAGACTTATTGTCAAATTCCTCTTTAGAAAAATGGTTCCAATTTATAATCTCATCAGTGGCACATGAAGGTGCTTATTTTTTACACCCTCACCAATACCCATGTTGTTCAGTTTACAAAATATTTTGTCAATATTATAGGTGAAAATATTTTATTTACATTTCTTTGATTATCTGGGAAATTATACATGTTTTAATGCTATTGGATGTTTGTTTTTCCTCATTTATACTTTTCCTCTTTATATTCCTTGTGCATTTTATATTGAAGTGCTTGTAACAATACATTTTTTATTTAATAAATTAAGAATATGACCAGGTACGGTGGCTTGAGCCTGTAATCCTAGCTACTTGGGAGGCTGAGGTGAGAGGATAACTTGAGCCCAGAAGTTTGAATCTAGCTTGGGCAACATATCAAGACTCTATCTCTCTTAAAGAAAAAAGAATGTGTTAAAGGTCGAATGATTAAATAATATGGAACTTATCACCACTATGGTTAGATGTAATAGTCTGTGGTCCAGGTTGGTTTATTGATTGTTTGAAATTCTTGATTTCAAAATATGTAAATTTTTGTATTCTTACTGTCCGTTGCAATTCCTAACTGGTGATCACTGTTTCCTGAGTGAATGAATGAGCAAAAAGGACTGGAGTAATCCTTGGGTGATTGGGCATTCTGAGGAGCCAATTTTCTAAGGAGATTGAGAGTTTTTCAGAACAGATGATGATTTGCTCTGGCATTCCCTTCTCTATATTCTCAGTTTTGTGCTGTCCTCAGGATCAAACTGACCACTTTTATTTTGGGGAATGTCTTCTGTAGCCCAAACTCTTCTAGTTCTTAAAGAAGTGGCTTAATTCAAGTTGTATCTGTATTAATCCTTAACTCTCCCATCATAAAATGTTTATTCTTAAATTCTCCGCATGACAAAGTATGCATTAAAGTCAGTTTCTTCTTTTCCTTTTCCCTCCCTCCCTCCCTCCTTCTTTCCCTCCCTTCCTTCACACAGGGTCTCACTCTATCACTGTAACCTTGACCTCCTGGGCTCAAGTGATCCTTCTGCCTCAGCCTCCCAAGTAGCTGGGACTACAGGCATGTGCCACCATGACTGGCTAATTTTTCTATTTTTTTTGTACAGATGAGGTCTCACTATGATGCCCAGGCTGGTCTTGAACTACTGTCTCAAGTGATTCTCTCACTTTGGCCTCCCAAAGTGCTGAGATTATAGCATGAGTCACCATACCCAGCCCATTTTTTCTTTTATAGTAAGAACTCTGTGGCTTTAGGAACCCATTTTTTAATTCTTTGCCTTAAACTTCACCAATAGTGCATATTGATTGATAATGAGATTCAGAGTTGTTTTTAATATATGAAGCTGCATTGGTATAACAAATGTGATGTATTGATCTTGTATTGGTGTATATTAAAATATTATTTGCCTTGAATGTCGGGAATATGACTTGTCCAAAAATTAAAGATATTTTCAGAGTTACAGATATTAATTCCTAAGAGTCCATTGACTGAATAATTAGATCTATGTTAGTCACAATATTTTCTAGTTGCATGTTCTTTTATCTTCCATCTCCAACTGTTTATGTGCAAATGAAAGAAAGGATATATCATGTATCTTGCATAATTCCAATTCATGCTTTTAAAAGAATAATTGCCAGAAAAATAAGGTGTGATATTTAAAAACCCCATTGTACTAAAAGCACTTTTGGATTCTTCCAGAGTTTAAGCTTTTATATACAGCTTTTTGATGAACATTTTTTTTGTGGGTAACTTCTTTATAAAGAAATTATAATTCACAACTCAGGAGAGGATACAATGTGAGAATTGCTTACCTCAGAATTGGTACACTTTGCTGGTTCTGAAGAGTACACATTGTGGGTCCAGTTAGAATTGTTTGGTGTCCCAGATAAAATTAGTCTCCTAGATCTCAAAACTGCAGAAAGCCATGAGAAGATGGCATTGCTTTGACTTGGCCAGGCTCTCCTGTACTTCTTGTCCCCATGGAAGTCGGCATCATAGAGTTGCTGGAAACTGGTGAAACTGGAGTGGGGAAGCCCTAATGTATCATTTTCTGTAAGGACAAAGAGGTCTAGTGAAGAAACCTAGTGAGTATTAGCTGTTGATACATAAAGCTGTCCAATACCCAGGGCTTTACTGTTTATCAATCTTAACTAGAAAATATAATGCATTATATGGATCACTTAGGTAAAAGCTAGGAAGGTTCAAGTTAGATATTTATTTCATATCTCAGCTTAATTTTAGATGCCAATAACTAATCTATTAAGATCATTTGTGCTATAATTGCAATGCTGAGTGTTGTGGTTCTTATAAATTATGTTGACCAAGTTCCATTTTTCTTCCTAGAATGGATTTTATTTAAATCTAGTTAGCTTTAACTAACCTAAATATTTACTGGATATATTTAAAAACTGCAGATTGAATAAAACCAATCCCCAGAGCCTAGGAAAATTTCTGACCTAAATTAGGAACCCAAGCTCTTTTATTATTTTCAGTTGAATACTACTCATAGCCATGCTCACATTTTGGAAAGAATACAGCCTCTGCAACAAAGTTTCTTTGTTTTAATGGAACTAAAAATATGCTGCATTTAGACCAAACAATAATAATAAACTACCAAACTACTTTCTAATGCATGGGGGTTCTGGAAAGAGGAAATCATAGATATTTAGAGGCATAAAGTGACTCATTGTGCTAGTTAAAAATTTTTATAAGGCTAGCTCTGTGTGTTTGAGTTGCATCTGTTACCTCTTCAGCCAGAACTAAAGTATGTGCAAGCAAAATAATTTTGGATTGAATTGTGGCTTATACAGAATACATTGTATACAGCTTAAGCATCTAATTGGGTTCCATACTTTAGATTGAACAAAATTGCATCCTTTCTTATTAATTCTACCTACAAGATATTCTTATTCCATACATTCAAGATAGTCTATGTGAAGCTAATTCATTTCAATTTGTAGACATAAATTTAAAATATTTTTCAAATGTAATTTGTAAGCCTTTTTATCCCTTTTAAAAACAATTTTCTCCCTTTTGTTTTTACTTATTCATACTTTTAAACACCTACCTTATATTACTGACAACTTTTTAAGAACCCATAATGAATGGAGATGTTATACTCTTAGATGTAGAACAATGAAATAATTGTTTCTTTTGCATTATCATCTTGGAAAAAATTGTTAGAATCAGTGAAGATAACAGCCTGAGTTAAAGATAGTATATTTGTAGCCAGAATGTATACTTCTTTAATAAAGCATATAAATGCAATTTACTTATCCTTTTTTTCATTTCATTTTCTGTCTAAATTTTTAGGTCACTTTCATGAATTCAAAGGCAATTTACCAGTGAATTCTGGGTGCTGGGGCTGATTTTTTTGTGCATATTTGTAAGTATTGTTTTTTTTCCTTACTTTTTTCATTGTAAATAAGTTCCAATTCCTATTGTGTGTGATTTTTATTAGTTTTTTGGTGTTTTGTAAGTACTGTATTTTTTGGTAAGTGTTTTCTTGGGAGGAGTATAGAAAAAAAACACCAGCTGGTGAAAACAGTCTCTGTTTTGGTTTCCAGTGAAATAACACAATGCAGGGCCCATTACAATAAACTTAAAGAATAAATATCTTACTTTTTGAGAATAAGGCTCGATTATAGGAAAGGGTTATCTTTAAGAGTGTATTCTATACACACATGAATAGTTTACCCTAAAGACAGTCTTCTGGTTGTCTGGACTTGAAAAGTCTATATGCCTTTGCCCATAGAAAAGATGTGAGATGATACAGAATTCAAAGAGCTGTCAGTACATGAGGAGATTATGTAAAGGCATGCTTATTTTTATTGCACTTTGCAAACATTGTTTTTTGTTTTTTGTTTTTTTAACAAATTAGAGGTTTGTGGTAAACCTGCATCAGACGAGTTTACTGGTGCCATTTTTCTAGCAGCATGTGTTCACTTCATGTTTCTCTGTCACAATTTGGTAATTCTCGTAACATTTCAAACATTTTCATTATTACTGTATCTGTTATGATCTGTGATCTGTGGCCTTTGATGTTACTATTGTGATTGTTTTGGGGCACCATGAACCTTGCTCATCATATGACTTTGAACTTAACTTTGAAATGTGTGTGTGTTCTGACTGTTTCACCAACTGGCTGTTCCCCCATTACTCTTCCTTTCCATGGGACTCTCTGTTCTCCGAGGCACAACAATTTGAAATTAGGCCAATTAATAACCGTACAGTAGTCACTATGTGTTCAGATGAAAAGAAACCTTGCAAGTCTTTCGCTTTAGATCAAAAACTAGAAATGATTAAGCTTAGTGAGAAAGATGTGAAAGCTGTGATAGATAGGCTGAAAGTTGACCTTTTGAGCCAGTTAGCAAAGTCATGAATGCAAAGGAAAGATTGTTGAAGGAAGTTAAAACTGCTGCTCCAGTGAACATGTGAGTGATAAGAAACATCCTTATAGCTGATATGGGGAATGTTTTAGTCGTCTGGATAGAAGATGAAACCAGCCACAAGATTCCCAAAAGCCAAAGCCTAAAACAAAGCAAGGCTCTAGCTCTTCAATTCCAGGAAGGCTGAGAAAGGCAAGGAAGCTGCAGAAGAAGAGCTGGAAACTAGCAGAGGTTGGGTCACAAGTTTTAAGGAAAGCAGCTGTCTTCCTAACATTGAAAGTGCAAGATGAAGCAGCAAGTGCTGGTGGAGAAGCTGCAGCAAGTTATTCAGAAGATCCAGCTAGGCTCATTGATGAAGGTGGCTATACTAAACCACAGATTTTCAATGTAGATGGGAAGAGAACTTTCATAGCTAGAAAGAAGTCAATGCCTGGTTTCAAAGTTTCAAAGAACAGGCTATTTTGTTAGGGGCTAATGCAGCTGGCTGCTTTAAGTTGAAGCCAGTGCTCATTTACCATTTTGAAAATGTCAGAGCCCCTAAGAATTATTATACTGAATCTACTCTTCCTGTGCTCTAGGAATGGAATGGTAAAGTCCGGGTGACAGCACCTCTGGTTACAGCATGGTTTATTTAATATTTTAAGCCCACTATTGAGACCTATTGCTCAGGAAAAAGATCCCTTTCAAAATATTACTGCTCATTGACAATGTACCTGATTACCCAAGAGCTTTGATAGAGATATAGAAGGAGATTTTTTTTCATGCTTGCTAGTACAACATCCAATATGCAGCTTATGAATCAAGGAATAATTTTCATTTTCTAGTCTTATTTAGAACTACACTTTGTAAGGCTATAACTGCCATAGATAGTGATTCCTTTTATGGGTCTGGACAAAGTAAATTGAAAACCTTCTGGAAAAGGTTCATCATTTTAGATGTCATTAAGAACATTTGTGACTCATGAGAGGAAGTCAAAATAACAGCATTAACAGGAGTTTGAAAGAAGTTGACTCCAGTTCTCATGTATGACTTTGAGGGGCTCAAGACTTTAGTGGAGAACATAACTGTAGATGTAGTGGAAGTAGCAACAAAACTAGAATTAGAAGTAAAATTAGACGTAAAGTCTGACTATGTGACTGAATTGCTCCAGTCTCATGATAAAACTTAAACAGAGGAGTAATAGCTTCTTATAAATGTACAAATAGCTTCTTATAAATGGGTTTAGTAATTTCTTGAGATGGAATCTGCTTCTGGTGAAGATGCTGTGAATGTTGTTGAAATGGCAACAAATACATCAATGTACTTGGTAAAGTAGCAGCAGAATTTGAAAGGATTGACATTAATGTTGAAAGAAGTTCTTCCATGGGTAAAATGCTATCAAACAATATTGCACGCTACAGAGAAATCTTTCATGAAAGGAAGAGTCAATCGATGAGGTAAACTTTATTATCTTATTGTAAGAAATTGTCACAGCCACCCTAGCCTTCAGCAACCACCACCCTGACGAGGCAGCAGCCATCAATATCAGCGCAGGATACTCCACCATCAAAGAGATTACAACTCACTGAGTGTTCACATGATCGTTAGCATTTTCTAGCAATAAAGTATTTTTAATTAAAGCAGGTAACTTTTTTTTTCCAGATATAATGGTACTACACACTTAACAGAGAACAGTGTAGTATATACATAGTTTTCATACACTGGAAAACAAAAAATTTATATGACTCATTTAATTGTGGTATCCACTTTAATGTGGTAGTCTGGAACTGAACCTTCAGTATCTCCAAGATATACCTCTACTGAAGCAACAAAGACTCATTTGGTGAATGCATAATGTACATTCAAATGGTGGTGTTTCTGCTTTCTTCCTCACTCTCCAAATGCCATTAAATGGTATTTTGGAGGACAAAGGTACTTTTTCTAAGTAAAGAAGATTAATTTTAAGAAAAAATGGAATGAATTTTAAAGATCTATTAAAGTACTTGAAATTATTGAATATATATTTTTATGTTAAAGTAATGTAGAATATGTGGCAGATATTAAACATGTCTGTGTGTATATAAGCTCATATTTAAGTAACTCTAGTTTAAAATATACTTATATGTGTACATTGTTGTCAACCACTGGTATTTAAGGGAACTCTTCTACATTTGGTAGCGGCAAAGACATAGGAAACTTTTTCTCTGTTAGTGTACCATTATGAAGGAGTTTTAAAGAATACACTTCTAGAAAATTATTTGAAATAAATAGCATAATGTTAGGGTTTAAGTGATTCAGGTTTTAAGCAGAGAGCAGTGAAATCTTACTTAAAATTAACTTGGCTTTTCTTCTAATAGTAGTGTTGATTGGAACAGACATTATGAACCAACTTTTAAAAAATAGATGTTCGTGTTTAATATGGTTTAATATATCTTATGAATTTTTAATGTTTTAAGAATGGGTAGGTTATTTTATAAACTATCACTTTACATTTTATTATTTTAGTAATTCTAATGTAAGACACAAAATTGTATAAACTCTATGGCTCATTTGGATTGAATATAAGTTTTTAACTTATGCAACGTATCATGGTGAGGACTAGGAGGCAAAGAAGATGGAGAAGGAAATATTAAGTATCTTTGAAGGGCTCTCAGTCAAAAGAGAGGATTCTAAAGAGCTGAGCTTAACCTGTTGGAAATCTGAGTGAAGGAAAATAATTTTGAGCTGGCCAAATCTTACTTTAGTTGCTTTGTCCTTTCTTGTACCTTCTTTCTTCTCTCATATTAGTTAGTGATTCCCTTTAGTAATGTTTTAGGATGATCAAATTTTTAAGTGACAAATATAATTACCAGCATTTCAGCCATGATGGCCTTTATAAAATGCAGTTTACTTTTCTTATCATCCAAAGGCTCTGTTTCCTGAGTTCTTCACTTCTTCCTCCCCCTTGCTCGACACACACAGGCTAACTTTGAATGGAGGTGTCCCAAGTAACTGAGCATTTTCTTGTGATTTAACAAAAGGAAAGGCTAAAATTAGAAGAAGGGACACTGTTGATTTAGTTTGTATATGGTTATTTCTGGAGTGTAACTTAAAAAAACCCAAAAAACGTTGTCAGATTTTGTCTGATCACTTAGGCAGAAGTTATGCGAGTTAGATAGGCCTAAAGCAGTAATTTTTGAGTCTTGAAAATTTCCATATGCTAGTTTAGAGCACGAACTTTGCTGTTCTTTTGGTCAGTGATTCGAGCTTTGTTAGGGCCATCTTTTGACTTTGAACCTTATTGTTAAAGAAATGTTGCAGGATACTGTGACAAAGATAAGGCTGATGAAATTAACATAAGCATCTACAATTCTTGAGTTTCTGTTTCAGTAATTGTGAAAACTGTCCATCACTTCTACTGAATGATGAGGCAGCAAAAACAATAGGAATATTTATCTAGTCAGACCTAAGGAACAAATGGGTTCAGTGACAATGGCTTCTTTTATGAACCTTAATTTCCGTGTCCTGGAACTGCTTATTTGCTACATGATCTAAGGCAGAAAGTTATACCTCATGGCCATGGGAAGGTTTCTTAGTAAGGTGTGCAAGCCTGTCTGTGAGATAAGGAGGGTGGGATATTGTTTTGCACATCCATAATGAATGGGCCACACCAAGAGTGTGAGAACCGATTGGAATCTTACCTACTCAAATCAACTACCCAGGTCAGAAGAGGAAAACACTGAGAAGGAAAATAGCTATCTCTTCAGAAGTAGCTTCTTAGTCTAGTTATTTTTTTCCTCTTAAAAAAAAAAAAGAAAGAGACTAGCTTTCTCCTTTCCCATAGTAGGCATTGTGTAAGATGACCTTGTTTTGCATGTTAATATCTCACATTTAATTTTTTATCTCTAATGAAAACTAGTTACATAGTTCTGACCATTTAGTTTTACCAAGGCAATAAATGATTGGTTAAAAAAAAATTCCCACGGAGATAGTTCATTAGGTACACTGTTTTTTTCAGGTTACCCATGCCTTTTTACTA